GGGTGTGGGTGGGGGTGTGGGTGTGGGTGTGGGTGTGGGTGTGAGGTGTGGGTATACTCAAGATTCGTTTCTCCAGTCCGCTGCGCTCACCGCACGTTTACACCCACACCCACACCCCCAATACGATGTTGTCGACTTCAAAACATATAAAAAAGAAATGCTTTAAACGCATTGATATCCATGAGAAATGTTCAGCAAAAGTTGCCCTTCATTAATTTTATGGTTTCTATCGTACAGATTTTGTATTTTCATTACTCAATTAAATTTTACCTTCTTAGTTCTTCACATAACCTTGAGATTGTAATTGTATCGTATGTATCGGTACCGTATCCTCGGAATCCTATGGATCGCGATAATATCCACGATAGACGAAATCCACTTTTCTCCCTTGAGTGGACCACGCAAGGGGATATTTAACATTTTTGTTAGGATTTTTTCATTAAAGCGGCTTGGTGTTACGTCTAGTGAGTTAAAAGTATAAAGATCTATCGATTAATAAAATCTTTTGCCAAACGGCGCTTGGAGTGGGTCGGAGCGTATTTTACAAATACCCTTTTTTTTCTTACAAAATCTACTTTCATTTTCAATTAAACTAAGATAATCTGACATCCATTCTTTATAGACACTTGTATTAATTCATTTTCAGAGTAAGGGTATGATAACTGGAGTCACTAAGCTATTTCAAGTTTTAGTATAATTTCATTCCTCTCTTTTGGTTTAGGTATATTCAAAAGTATTTTCCTTTATATAAATAGGAGCTAAAACATATTTCGATGCCTCAGAGTGTCATATATCAAAGTGGAATTATATTATGAAATTAATTACTCGACCAATATAAGAGCTTCTTCCCGTATTTATTTTTCTACATGCTTTACAGAAACTTGGGATGTAAATTGTAATAATTTTTCGAACGAAAATGGACACCCAGTATTGTGGCAAGTATGCGAAAATGAAGCGTCGTTTTGCTTGATTTTGGATAATTTTATCGGTAGGATTTTTTAACTGTCTTTCTTGAGCAAAAAAATCACCTCTTATTATATCTTTCTCTGAAAAATAGCTCTTTAAAAATCTTTACATTTATTCGAGTGACTCACCATGCTTTATTCTACCGCATACTTATAAAGAATGACTTCTTCTATTGATTATTCGAACATGCAATATGAAAAAAACGACTGAGTTGTTGTCGAAACATCTCTTTATTCAGCACTCATATTCAACTACTTCTTCCGATAAATATACTCAGTTTCTTATTGCATTTTCTCAATTTTTCATTGTTTTCCTTCTCTTTCGCTTTGCTAATGCAAACACTGAAGAATGAGAGCGAAAGAAGCAACCTTTATCCTTACATTGTTTGTTCCTATAATGAGAGATTTTTATATTTGGTTATCTGTAATGACAACGAAATAAGAGAAGAAAAAACAAACAATCCATTATTAAATACACGTATATCTAAGCTAGCTGTTCGCTAGTATGTTGGAAAATCATGTAGATTATCTTCATCTATCGAAGACTGTTATTTTCGTAGAACAGAAAGAATGCTCTAATTCTCTCTTCGGCTTATGAAGTACTTTGTTACAACGTAAGTCATGGTGCTATTCTTTACCATGTAAAAATAGATAGCAGTATTAATCATCGAGGAAAAGAGGGGAAAATCCCATATCGCATCGAGTGATGTCATTTTTTATATGAGTAGAGAATTGTTTATGACTAACCATTTGAAATATAAGCAATATATCGTTCGCACGCCATATATATATATATGTACATGCGCGCATATTCATATCAGAATTGTTGTAACGCTGCTAATAGAAGTAAGTTTGCATATTATTTCCTTCTTGTGCCTCTTTCAATCGACATTCATCGTTTCGGAATACATCGTAAAACATATAAAGAACCTTAGCTAAGTTTAGTACATCAATACCAATAACTAGCAGTACCTTCGATACTTATTAGATATCTAGCAAATCCAAGCGATTTGAGAGCTGGGTTCAGGTTTTTATCTAATAAATTTGAGTTTAGAGTTGAGTCTAGTATCTGAACATACTAAATAATTTGAGTATGGGCATGACTGGCATTGATTTGAACGAGTGAAAAAATAGCGAAAAACAAATAGCGACAGAAAAAATGTCGAGAAAAAAATGACGAAGAAAAATATAGTGCATTGAAAAATGCCGGAAGACTTATATTGAGAAAATAAAATACTAATCATAAATGGTAATGAAATTTCATTAAGCTAAGAAAACAAAAAGTTGTTTAGTGAAATTGATGTTGGATTAAAATGTCAAACATAATTGATCTGCATAGATTCTGTGTTATTAGTAAAGATGTGTGTGATCAAGTTTTTTAGTTCCGATTTTAGAGAAAAATTCTCCGATTTAAGTCGATAAATGAAAATCACCTCAACCGAAATGAGATCAGATTTATTGGGACGGATCTGCTCTTAAAAGCGGGGCTACTGAGATTTATTTAAACCATCGGATTTATCTATTGATAGGAGACAATATATTTTAACTGTTTAATAATCTCAATGAAATTCTACATATTTCTCAGACCACTAGAGTTCGTCGGGTAGAAATATTTTTGAATTCGGAACCAACCCGACTGATTCTAATTCTCACTCTCACTTCCAGTCTTTATAGTAAATTTATGAAAGTGATTAAACTTATGCTGTTTGATTTAAGAGAATATTTACTTAATAATTGTTTTTAAATCATCTTCTATCACAACATAAACACAAAAAGTTAACGCTCAGATTTTGACTAATGTCTTATCAAGTTCTACCTCTGGTATCACTGGCGCCATCTATCGCCAATGCGCAATACAACTTGATAAAATGTGTTTGAAAATCAAATTACCTTAGCTGTACGAAAATAATTATGTCGATCCATACGTAATTTTTCAATATCACTATCAATAAGTTGTAAACGTTTTCGTTGTTCATTATAATCTTTATTTAATTGTGCAGCACGTTTTGTACATTCAGATATATCACGTTCTTGAAATTCAATTTTTTTCTTTTGATCAAGTAAACGATCTTTTATTTCAGCTATTTCATGTTGAAGATCTTCAATAACCTATAAATGAATTTAATTAAGATGAAAAAAAAACAAACGTGTTTTTTTTTTGATCAAATGAATTTACATACTTTACGATATTTTTTTTCATTTTTTTGACATTTTTGTAATGCTTCTTCTAAATTTAAAACTTCTTTTTTAACTTGTTCAACATGACCAGCTGTATCACGTGAACGTTCAAATTCAAGCATTGTTTGAATTTTTGTTATTTGATTTTCAAATTCAAGACGTTCTTGTGCTCGTTTTTCAGCAGCTTGTAATTCTCGATCTTCATAAACACTTTAACAAGAGAGAAAAAAAAAACGAATATAAACAATAAAAAAATTCTACGTATTTAATTACCGAATATTTGCTACATTAATATGTTTACAAAACTCAGCAAAAACAGCATCTTCAATTTTATTTTTTTGTGTACGTAATTTTGATATACGTTTTTCTCGTTCATCAATTGTTGTTTGTAATGCATAGATTTTTGGCTTAAATAATAAAAATTATTTCAATTAAAATTACTTAAACTATGAAACAGATCATAGACTTTATCAATAAAATTTATCTAAATAAAAAATTCGATATTTTACATCTTTGTGAATCTCATGAGTTTATTGTGTCTACCATTTATTCTTTCTATTTTTGCAAATCAAACAATTATGTTATTTAAATATTAATACAAATATTTACTGCTAACTTCAATTCTCGATTTGCATAACTATAAGTCTAGCATAATCTATCTGGTATGAAGAGCATAAAACATTTTTGTGTACTCAAAAAGTGAGTACACTCTAGAATCGGTCAGTGTGTCCGTCCGTCCGTCCGGCCGTTAACACGATAACTTTTGAAANTTAATGAACGATAGAAACGTCAGTTTGTCATATAAGATTGAACAGAATTCATCTCATAGATTTTTTTCGAAAATATATATCAAATTCTTTTGAACAATCACAAAAATTTTATAAAAATAAAAATAATTATTTTTTTTATTCAAAAATAAAAAGTCAAGTCATTTTAATTGAGTGTTATACTTCATAATGTTTTAATATTACTTAATATTTAAGTAGATTTCTATTCTGAATTGTTCAATGTTTTATTTAATCAATATTGAACTTTTATGTTTGATTATTTCAATAGTTTCTATTAATATAAAATCAAAAATATTTTTATATCAGATATCGTTATGAAAATCATTGTTCATAATCATAAGAATTTTGCTCAAACAAAATATGTCTCTCTTTTTTTTCTTAACTATAAAAATTCTAACAATTTTTATCATCAATAGATTAAACTTTTCACAAATTTTTCTTCTAACTTATTCAATATTTGATGAATAGAATAAACATTCGTTTTACTCGAAGTATTTTTCTTGAAAAATACAAAAAATCTTTTATTCATTTATCTATATTGATCATTAATTTTTGTTTTTCTAAGTTTCTTCATTGAGACAAATTCCATTGAAGAACTACAAACTCCAGTTTTACCATATCATTAAATCTTATTTCTTCTTATGTCTTTCTTCATTTTACAACAAAAAAAAAAAAAAACTAATTGTCTACTTCTTTTTCAATAAGTTTTAGAACACATTAGAAACTTATAAGAAAAACATCGATAGACTAATATTACCTTGAGGTGAATAATGTAGAATATCTTGAAAAAACAAATTAAATTTTTTTACATCATTTAATTGTTTTAATTCGTTTGTAATTGTAATTTCATTTAAAAAATGTTCTTCAAACAAACTACTTTTAGATATTTTTATAACATGTAGTTTTTTATCATCATTTAAAGAAATATTTTCATCATTTCTTAATAAATAAACCATGGAAGTTAAACCATCACCCAATTTTTCTATTATTTCATATTTATTATCAAGTAAGTTATCACAAGGATCTATATTTAACATATTATATTCAAAAAAGTTTTTCTTCATTGTTAAAAAATTTGTAAATATATTCCAAGTAACTTCATTTAAATATTTCTTTCTCCATTCTTCATTTGTTATTGACATATCAA